TTAATATGAAACATTGTAAACAGAATGTAACTCAAATCTTATTTGTATCCATTTGTGTGGTCATCAAATATAAGTGTTTAAGATTACATTAAGCAAGAATTATTAATGCATCATCAATATGTACCTGCAAACCCTCGCAGCTCTCGCTAGATCCCTGGCATTTAAATATTGAAAGACAATTCTCAAAATATCGTAGGTTAGGTAAGTATTGGGATCCAATATATTTTCATTGCTTTGCGTTGCACTATCATTATTTTCGGATGCAGGTTTTTCTTTCCGAATTTTTTTTCGTACTGGATCCTCCATTAATCTTTTTCAATTTAAATCAGTTGTTCAATTTAAATTGCTTGTCAAAATATCACAGTAAAACAACACCACTGTGAAAATAGCACAAGAATGCAGATCGCAACATGCACCAACGCGTACTGTAAACACAGTAGATATGTGTCGCGTGTCGTGTGTATGTGTGTGTGTGTGTGTGTGTGTGTGTATGTGTGTGTGTATATATATATATATATATATGCATATATAAAATTAAATGATTGGAGGACTCCTATCACAAGAACAAGTCGGAATAGATTCGCCGATTGGTTTTTTCCCTAGCCATATGGCTGCGTTCAGCAGAGAAAATTAATCAGCTAGTGCTTAGTGATTCTTCAATATGATTGGTTTCTACACTTAGATCCAACAAAGAACTAAAGGAAAGAACCAATCATATTAAAGAATCACTTTTTTTTCTAAGCAGCAAATAGAATTTGAGAAATAATTGAATAATTTCAATTAGAGACCATTTCGAATGATATCCAATTTTCCAAGACAGTTTTAAAACAACTGAAATGACATTTGTTTGATATCAAATGTTCGATGCATGAATATCAGATAACAATTTCTATTATTTAGAATTCTAGGAAATGAATAACAATGTGTTGCATACATATTAAGTATGGGAAAAAGTTCGTGGCGTTTTTTTAAAGCCATCTAATGGGAAAAACTTAATATAACGTTATGTATATACATATATAAAACATTGTTTTGTAATTATTATTCTAATTATTTTACATACAGGTCTCGATTTAAGCCTACATAGTGTTTATTTTTTATCATTTTTTAAAATTAAAGTATATTACACGAATCTTTTATAAGTATATAAAAGTTTATTAAGATAACAAAAAAATTTATAATTCTCACAAGATAATCTTTAACATAGATATATTACACATCATTTGCTTTAAAATAATTTTAACCAATTAAATGTACCTGAATAAAAAATTAAATTATGTTTGGCATCGTTATAATACCCGGTTGAATGTATGATATCGACATTGACACATATGCTAATACTATTTGAGAACCTTTCGCATCCTGTTGCAGGCGATTTAACTCAACAGGTTGTAAAATCGAATCTTCTTTTCTGTAATTTTTTAATTGGGACTTATTAAACATTATTTGTACGGAAATATACTTTTTTAATTATCAGATAATACCTTATCACTACCAGGCTGTACAGTGGTTGACCAGGATTCGCCTTTTTATAATGATGTGTACAAGAATACACATTATACGATATCTTATATTTGCTTTTTTTTCTTCTAACAGTTCTTTCTGGTGCTGATTTTATTATAGCGAGTTTACTAAAAATTTCTGTCATTGAGGATACGTTTCTCGGACTGACTAAAGGATTGAGAAATTTTACGACTTGCACTTCGGTGCAATCTTCCTCACTTTCGTTCAAATTTTTACAATCTTCATCGTCGATTGTTATGGTTTTTTCTTCAAACCATTTTTTCTTTAATTCTGTCCATGAACTAGTTCCTAGACGTGTTGTAAAAGAAGGTCGATTAATAATCTCGTAACCGACTAAACTATTAGTATCATCGTGTCGTCGTCTTGCAACAGAATGTGTATTGCTGTGCATCGACGCATTTTCAATCATTCTCCGCTGACAAAATCTTTGCTGCCATAAAATATTCTGATAGAAATTGTGTCGGAGTTGATTCTCCGTAAAAAAATGTCTAGTTCGATATCCTTCTATGATCGGTATCATGAAATTGTTCATCTGTATGGTGTAACTTCTTTGCTGAACAGTGTTCCCATGGTTACCAAAGGCAACAAATAAATTATGAAATACATTCTGCGTGACTCTATTTTGTAAATAAACATCTGGAAAATAATTGAACGGAAACCTATATGCGTAAGGCAAGCTAATATTCATTCCATGCATTTGATCTACGGAATAAAAAGATCGCGATGGACTACGTAAGAGTGAACGTTGATTTTGAAAGGAAGCGTTTCTGTTATTAACTGCAAGAGGATTCTTAGAATGAGACGTGTTTTGTCTCGCATTAGTTCTATCATTTTTGCAATTCTGTCGCGCTCGTTTGTCATTTTCCTGCATATTTAAAATCATCGTTCGATTGTATTGGTATGTGCTTTTCTGAGGCCTTATATTGTGCGGTATATATCGCCTGGAAATTTTTTCGTTAATTTCCGATTGGAAGGCAATATTTGGTAATAGATTTAACATTTCCATTCTTGTCATACAACGTGGTAATTCCTGAACTTCATCATCAGATAACTCAATCACCTAATTAAAAAGAGAAAAAATTATTATTGACAAATTCTTTATACTATACATTAGTATACATATTTGAGAATATCTTACCTCATGCTTTGACTTTTTCACATGTAACTCATCAATTTGCAAAACTGCCTTTCGTTTCTCTGGATATCTGGAATTTTCACTGGTGTCAGAATCGATTATAGAAATTTCTGGAAATGATATTTTATCGTTTCTTTTAGGCAATTGTTTCACATTACGTTGAATGCGAGTACCCGGCCATGATACTTTACATGATGTGTCTCTGAGAATTTTGATATTGCCTAACAAAGTTTCATCGGAGATTATTTCTGGTTTAGAATGTCGATTTTTTTCTTCATTGTTTGCAACCTTTTCTGTCACATTATTTTCCACTTCTCGGAAAGTAGTTGGCTCATTTTCATGACGTTTCACTATATTACATACAACCTGATCTACTAGATCAGATATTACTTGTTTTACAAATTCTTGTATTATAGTCTTTTCATGATTTTCCATATTAATAGATTTATCCGATGTTTCCGGCATATTGTTCGTTAAAGTTAGTTTTGATTTCTTTATACTTTGCTTGTTCTGTGGTTGGTTATCAGACATTCTCAGTCCATTCTCAGGATCAACAATAATTTTCCGTTTAACAAGAGTAAACTCATCCGATCTATTACACTTATCTGACTCTTCATAAAAGTAACGCTGTATACGGTAACCATAACGTGTTAATTGACTATAAACTCTATATTCTTCCAGGGTACATAGTGAGTCATCAATCAAAATTTCATATGCTTGCTGAATCGAACATGATAATCCATTCCAAATGAGTTCAAGACAATTCTATAACACATATAAGAGAATACATTAAATAAATATGGTGTAATAATTGAAGCATTATTAAAAAATATAATATACAAATTATAGAAAACATACTGTTTCTATGAGAAATAACGCTTCTTCTGGTAGTAAATATAAAGAACCATTTCTCTCCAGACCAAAGTTGCTCCAGTCTTGGCCAGATCTTTTAGTAACAAGAGCTCGCTTTTGGGATGGTAGCCACTCGGCACTAGCTAATTCTGAGATACGTTCGACTCTCTCGACATTTAATAAATCTTTACGCTTTTTAAGTCCTTTCTCAATCTGAATATTTTGTAGCCAAGAGTTATCAGGTTCAAAATGCTTCTTTCCACTTTTAGGCAAAGTCTTTAAAGATCTCTCCCATTCCTCTAGTAAGCAAGTACTGATACCCTTGTTGCATAACAATTCTTTGGCCCTGTTAATAAAGAATCAATTTTTATTTGACTAATTAATTATCATTAAACGCATGCGTTATTATAATTATAATTTTCAACGAAAACAAATGATATAATTTTATTTTAATCTTTTATTTCAAGATTTAAATTCAAGATTTAAATTCAAGATTTATTAAGGATAAAATAAATTTTCATTTTTTTAACAATTCTCAAAATTAAAATTTAAAAAAGAGAATAATATCACATATATGAAGAATAACAAGTAGAATAACATGATTTCTTTATATTTGAGCAATGCCAATTAAATCACTAATAACTTTGGTTAATTATTTTGATGAAGAAACTATTGTAAAAAAAAAATGTTATAAACTGTAACTCACGTTAGCGTATTGCATGGTAATTTTTCAGGTGGTTCATCCATCACGGAAAATAGATATCCATCCACAAATATCTACGGGAAACAATGCAGAACGTATGAAACGTATTTCGAGATACGCATATTAAAAGTTCTCAATATTATTTAAAATTCTATACTGTGCTTAAATAACAGGTATCCACACCGGCAAAAGATGAATTGTGGCAAGTATATAGTATTCGACAAGATCGATTCGCGTTATATACACAGTACCTATATCAGACGCGTGATATATCTATTAATTGATCTCAATGTTTGTTCTTTGCAGCTATCTGTACTCTTCTCACGTCTATCTCTTTTCAATATCCATCTGAATATTCATATTATTTTTTTGCTGCAAAGAAATAGAAAGTAGAATATAATATAGCTTTAAAGAACACACCTCAAGTTATGTTTGCAATTCCCATCTTTCCTCTTTCTTCAGGAGCTTTCCAATAAGCGACACTGGCTGCGTTCAGCGAACTCAAGAGTTGAGTAAATGCTCGCTACTGTTGATGTATTCTTTCAGATATAAAATGCTGATTGGATGATTTAAAAGAATACACCAATAACAGCGAGCCATTATTGGAACATGCGACGCGAACAAACTTAGAACGAACAATCGATACCTAGGGGAAACAACAGTCATTTCAATGCTAGCAACCTTGCCGTTGTTCATATTATAGACGACAAACGAAGGCTCCGATTCCGATTCCCTGCATGTCTCCACTGTCACCAATTCACCAGTAACAATAAACTCCAAGTTTGTAACGTTCGTAACGGGCCACTCCTCTTGCTGATAATGTCCACGCGATGTATGTAGCCGACGTGCCTGACGTCTTGGTTTGAGTATCTTCGTTCGTAGGCTTGAATGCGGTGATGCTAATCGTGCGCAACACACGCTGACACGGCGGATTCGACTTGATTAGAAAATCGTGATTCCGAGGTGAGCGCCGATGACACGCGAGTCGAGGAATGTACGTTTGGGCGTTGACCGCCGCTCACTGCCTAACCCCGCAAAAGCGATTTCGTTTCGCGTAATTTTTTAACGTATCGACGGCTACAGTGTCGGAAAGCGATACCGCCTTATTAAATAACACAGAAAATCAACATCTTACAAGTCACACAAGTATTGCCCATAAAAGGCTGATGCATATATGTGTCAAAAGTTGTATTTATTTACGTCATGGATTTTTAATATGGCTAATACAGAATAGGGGACAATTGACTGTAATTGATACTATGAGTTCTAATTTTGAGTGTTTCCCAGATATTTCATGTTTATTCTTGGCTGTGTTCAGAAGAAAGAAAGTAGCTTTGTTATTATTGCAAAATTCTTCAACGATTGATTTATACATTTAGATTTAATGAGAGTAAAATCAAATATATCAAAGAATTTTATAAAAGTTGCAAAACTGCTTTCTTTGTTAAACGCAGTTTGTTTAACATTCGATGACCAATAAAATGATATCTGAGTGACATTCGAATGAGAACATGGCTTGGATGCTTTCTACAAAAACTATGTTCCAAAATTGGCAAAACTGCCAGTAAAAACTGCCACTAAAATTGAAAAATTATAGTGTACATAATGTAAACTACAGATTTTCAGTATATCAATGAATTTTGGAAAATCAAAGCCAAAGAGACATAGATAACATAGTGTAATACAGTGAATTATTACGTCTTTGTTTGATATTAAACAAAAATAAAATGATTATTATGTTCTTCGTCTTTTATGTTCTGGGCTATGTTCCAAGACAACAGTAATTAAACTCTATGTTTGTGTGATGTCAATTATATATTTTAATCCTTGTGTCATTTCGGTTTTTGACTCACAACATGAGAGAGCATTTTTTCTAAGAGAGTATTTTTTGAAAATATTTTCAAACATTTTCATAGAATATAAATTAATAATGAATTATATATTTCAGAAAAAAATGTTAGTCTGGATACTCTTATTGTTCTTGGCTTCTGGAAATGGTCAGTTTACCCAGGAGCCAACAGAATCCACTCCCAGACTTCCATGGAATCGTTATGATGAACGGGATCAGAATACAGGATTTTGGAATCCTGTAGGTCAAAATGAAAATGTTATAATTAAAGACTCGTGAGTATTGCTATATTGAACGTGTAACATAGAAAAGTGTATATGAATACGAAATTATTTAACGTAACGAACATTTTTATTTGCAGCACGTATTTCATTGTTGCGTCTCGCATGGTTAGACCAGGTCAAGTGTACAGACTTGCTGTGAACATTCTTCATAGCCCGCTGCCTATGATGGTGCGTACATCTATTCAGCGAAATGGTGTGGAAATAGCAGCGGATCATCAAGAAGTAAAAGAGGGTATACCTGAAACTTTAATGATGCGCATGCCACCCACTTCCGTGGATGGTGACTATAAGTTGCGCATAGAAGGATTATTTAATAGTTTAACAGGTGGCCAAGCTTTTTTAAATGAAACCAAACTGATATTCTCGCAACGTTCTATGACCATTTTCATACAATTGGACAAACCCGTGTATATGCTGGGCGATACAGTACGTTTTAGAACAATTCTGATCGATACGGAATTGAAAGCTTATGATAATCCTGTGGATGTATATATGTTAGATCCAAATAGAAGGATTATGAGACGATGGCTCAGCAGACAAAGCAATCTGGGTACAGTGTCGCTGTCGTACCAGCTTTCTGATCAACCGGTTTTCGGGGACTGGATCGTGCAAGTAATAGCTCAGAATCAAGTGGAGGAGAAGACATTCCTTGTAGAAGAATATTATCAAACGCGTTTCGAAGTCAACGTCACGATGCCAGCGTTCTTTTTTGACAACGATCCTTACATTTACGGTATCGTTCAGGCAAATTATACATCGGGCGCACCGGTGAGAGGTAATCTGACTTTAAAAGCTAGTTTCAAACCACTGGATAGAATACGCAATCCCTCAGCGGCGATCGAACCAGTTGAGAGATACTTCAACTTCAATGAATATTATCCATCGTGGTTTAGGATACTTAATTTTTATGAGGAGAGAGTACCAGTATTAAGATTCTTCAATGGAACGTATCATTTCCAATATCCTATGCAGGAATTGCTGGGCTTTGCTCCGTCGATTGACGGAATGGAAGTCACTGTGGTTGCGACAGTGGGTGAGAGATTTCTCGATGAGGTGATCGTCGGTTACTCTAAGGCAAGGATCTTCAATTCTACCACAAAGATTCGTTTTCTTGGTGGCAGTCCACAGGTCTTCAAGCCAGCGATGCCGTTTACTTTGAACTTAGTTGCATCTTTTCATGACAACTCGCCATTACGACCCACGCAGCTCAGGGACGCCATGATGGAAATCCGCGCAGACATCGAGATGCGATCTGGCGGACGTCGCAACATTGATATCCAATATCCAAGGGCATCACCAGAACATGCGGATGCATGGGTCGTGAAGATGGATCTCAGGAAACAGCTCGGGCTAGATTCTGATCGCGCCAGTCAAATTCTGGACGATATCACCTCCATGAGAGTTCATGCGCATTTTACTGATGGTGAAGGTTACAGGGCTCAGACCGAGTTGCTACTGCTCGCCCATGAGTCTCCGAATATGAAGCACATAAAGATATCAACATCTACCGAAAATCCCAAAGTCGGTCAATACATGATATTCCATGTACAAACTAATTTCTATATTGATGTCTTTAACTATCTCATCATGTCTAAAGGCACTATCCTTTTGACTGGTGAAGACAATATGCAACACAATATAAAAACTTTCGCGATTCCTCTGAGCCCTGAAATGGCTCCTGTCGCAACGGCGGTGGTGTATTACGTGGGCCGCCATGGCGAAGTTATTGCAGATTCCCTGACCTTCCCCGTGAACGGCATTTCGCGCAATAACTTTACTGTATTTATCAACAACAAAAAGGCAAGAACAGGCGAGCGCGTTGAGGTAGCTATTTATGGTGAACCTGGCGCCTATGTTGCTTTATCGGGTATCGATCGTTCATTCTACACTATGCAAGCAGGCAATGAACTAACATATGCAAATGTAATCTCAAAGATGGCTCATTTTGATGAGGAGACCAACGGCACGCATACGCACACTTGGCAGTATCACGATGGTGATCCAGACGAGATGATATATTTTCCGTCCTCCACCTTTGGTATTGATGTCAATCGCACGTTTGATTATATTGGCCTAGTTGTCTTCACAGATGCTGTGTTATACCGACGACCTGATCTGTGCAATCGAACGCAGGGTTTCGGCGAATGCTTAACTGGTCGATGCTACAGATTGGAGAAAAAATGCGACGGTGTATTTGACTGTGAGGATGGCACAGACGAGGCGCGATGTGTCGAGCGGAACGCGACTGACTTGGCACAATTCCGTAAGGACCGATTCAATCGAATCCAAAGGCATTATGAAAATGTTTGGCTGTGGAAAGATATCAATATCGGCCCGCATGGTCGACAGATCTTCAATCTGGATGTACCACGGAGACCAGTACATTGGATGGTTACCGCTTTCAGCATGTCGCCTAGCATCGGGTTTGGTATGTTGCCGAAAACGCTAGAATATATCGGAGTCTTGCCGTTCTATATAAACGTAGAGATGCCAGCTCACAGCAGACAAGGCGAGCAAATTGGTATTCGTGTGTCCGTCTTCAATTACATGCACTACAATATTGAGGCAACAGTGGTATTATCGGGATCCAAAGACTATAAATTTGTTCACGTTGAGGACAATGGCATTGTGCAGTCGTATAAACCGCGTACTTCTTTCGGCGAACATCAATTTTTCATCTGGATCCCTGCTCAAGATGTCAACATTGTTTATCTGCCCATCGTACCAGTAAGACTAGGCGATATTAAAATTCACGTTTATGCGACTACTTTAATTGGCAGGGATTCGGTGACTCGCAATCTGCATGTTGAAGCAGATGGAGTGCCGCAACATCGACATCAATCAATTTTGCTGGATCTTAGCAATCGCGCCTATATACAAAAATACTTGCACGTGAATGTCACTGAGACCCCGATCATAACGTATGATGAGAACCGTTACTATGTATTCGGATCTAACAAAGCAACTGTTAGTTTGGTTGGTGACGTAGTGGGGCCTATTTTCCCAACAATGCCGGTGAATGCAACGAGCCTTTTGAATCTGCCGATGGACTGTGCCGAGCAGAACATGTTCAGTTTCGCCGTTAACATGTATACCACCCTATATATGCGCTTGATTAATCAACGCAATCGCACACAAGAAAAGGAAAGCTTCTACTACATGAACATCGGCTATCAAAAACAGTTATCGTTCATGAATCCTGACGGATCTTTTAGCTTTTTCCGTACTGATTGGAACCAATCGATGCCGAGTGTTTGGTTAACAGCATTCTGCGCACGGATTTTCCAAGAGGCTAGCTTCTATGAGTGGGAGAATTATCTTTACATTGATCCCGAAGTGATTTCCCAAGCGATTTCTTGGATATTGAAACATCAGACACCGGAAGGCGCATTCTATGAAGTGACCTGGTTACCGGATCGAAAGATGAACAGTTCCTTAAACTATAAAAATGACATAATTGCTCATCGAAACATCAGTCTCACTGCTCATGTACTCATCACACTGCAGAGTGTCAAGGATCTCACGGGTGGTTTAGGTTCTCAAGTGGCCCTGAGCGCGGCCAACGCTATCAAATGGTTGGAGAGAAACCTGAAGTTATTGGAAGAGCGCGGTAAACCTTATGAGATAGCAATAGTGGCCTATGCACTCTTGGTGGCGAAAGCCTCTACTGCTGAGCAAGCCTACAACATCCTGGCGAAACACGAACAAATAGAAGACGAATATAGGTACTGGGGCAGAGAATATGTACCACTTCCTCCGACCAAGCAGGAGAATCAGAAGACATTTAGGCTGCCACGCTTACCCTTCAATTATGATTCAGAAAACATAGAGACAACTTCATATGCGCTACTTGTTTATGTCGCCCGACAAGAACTTATGTTAGAGCCAATAGTGAGATGGCTGAACGTACAGAGATTAACGGACGGTGGATGGGCCTCTACTCAGGATACTGTTTGGGCGATGAAAGCGCTAATGGAATATACTGTCAGATCGAGAATCAGGGATGTCAGTTCGCTCTCTGTAAACATAGAATTTAGTTCCATAATGAACAAGACCGAGACATTGACCGTGAATCACAAGAATCTAGCGAGACTTCAAACTATCGAAGTATGTAATATTTTGATTACGGTCCACTTGATGTTATAAATACTTGAAAGCATTTTTTTTATTAGCCAATTAATAAAATTCTTTTTTCCCGATTAGTCAATCGAAAGCTTTAAAACATTTATAGCATCAAGTGGACCGCATCTTTTGAGACATATTTATGTTTCGTGAAACATATTGAAACGCTTCCCTTGCACGATTATGATTTTTTTCAGATCCCGCAAGCGTGGGGCATTGTAAAAGTGCAGGCGAAGGGTGCAGGTTACGCCATTCTGCAGATGCACGTGCAATATAACGTTGATATAAAGAAATTCCAAACAGAACCACCGATTAAAGCCTTCGATCTAGTCACCAGAGCGAATTTCCATGGCAGAAATCAGTCTCATATCTCGTATCTTTGCTGTCAAAGGTGAGATTGCATATAATCATAATAATATCTCGCCATTATTTTTATACTCATAAAAATGTATTACGTTTTTACATAGATGGACGAATCTCAACGAATCTATGCGGTCCGGCATGGCTGTGTTGGATGTAGCTGTACCAACCGGTTACATAATCCAGCAACAAACTCTAGATAAATACATCCTATCGAAGCAAGTGAGGAATCTCCAGAGAGCACGTTTCCAAGAAAGGAAAGTACTCTTTTATTTCGATTATCTGGACAGCGAAGAGACGTGCGTAAACTTCACAATGGAACGTTGGTATCCGGTCGCAAATATGTCACGATACCTTTCCATTCGCGTTTATGATTACTATGCGCCAGGTATTTATATATTTTCACTAAATTTGCTTATATTACGATATTATATTACGATTGGTCCATATTGATATTTATTATTTACCATTGTTTTCAGAACGTTTCAACGAATCTATATTTGACGCACTGCCTACATACACATTGAATATATGCGAAGTTTGCGGTAGCTCCCAGTGCCCCTACTGCCCAATTTATAATGCTGCCATGTTATTAAGTACACCAACAGGTTTCCTGCTTATCACATCGCTTATCGTGACAATAACGAGATACTTCCGAACGCAGCAATTCGACGACGATCTGTTAACAGCATGCTCTATTTAGCAATAATATAAAGGTAAAAGTATTCGATTCTTATTCAATTGCCATAATTTGCCTCTGCTAACGGAGCACAAATATGGAACGTTACAATAATCAGAACATAGTACATGTCCACGAATCTCATTACTATAAATATCCGAGGAATCGTTTTATATAATTTTGAAATATGACATGCATATGCAATGACTAATGTTAATGATGAGTTTTAATTCTCAATTTCTATTTCCAGTGAAACTAATCACTTTATAATTTTAACTGTTTTTGTATACAATGCTCATGCTGAAGATTTTTTTTGCACAATCTGTTGTAGCCCAGGATATTTCATAATTATAAAAATCTCATTTTTTTGTATACTTATTTTTATATAGTTTTGCACCTTCAAACAATAACTTTAGAAAATCATTTTCAAGAATTAAAATAAGAATTAATATTTTATTGTTTGCTTGAAGTAATATAAATATAGAAAAATTTAGTATTATTAAAAAAAATTTTTTAAGGCTGAAGTTTAATTGAAAAAAGAAAATTTTATTTCTTGTAACTATAATTTAAATTTACAGCTGTACAGCTTTGATACAACTAATGTGAAATAAATTTATCGTTTACTTATTATATAGCCGTAACAGCTTGGTTGCGTTGTGCCGTTCGAAAACATTTATTATAAATGTTATTAAATAAATGTTAAAAAACTTTATTTTACATGTACATGCTTATTTCTATTTTACAAAGTTTGCAACTAGTAAACGAAATCGGAGAAGACATTCGTGCAATTTCTGGACTACTAGTATATTTCTTCTATCAGAAACTAATGTTAAAATTCTAGTTTTTATTGTCAATCATTCATACTTCGTGAAGATCAATATGTCTATTATTTTCCAAGAAACTTGTTTTTATTCGATACTCTCAACTAAGAAGTTAAAATTGTTTTATCTTTTTTCATATATGTATATCTATGTATATCTGGAATTACATATAACTTTAATTTTGAAAACATCAAATTACAGCTGTAAATTTAAATGATTAAGTATAAGTATACTTAGTATAATTTAATTATACAAAGTGCACAAAACTGATTCATAAGATTGCACGATCAAAAGTAATTATTTCTGGAAATATTAAT